ATAAGCCTGTGGTTCTCAACCTTCCTAATACTAGGACCCTTTAACACAGTTCCTCCTGCTGTGGTGTAAGTATCTGATATGCAGCCCCCAAACGGGTCTCGATCCACAGGTTGAGAACCATTGTGCTAAGCCCTTTGTTATTTATGATAGAAGTTGTTTCTTTTTATTTATCAGACCAGAACTGGGTTGATCTTCTCAGAGCCCTAACCTTCAGATTGATCCATGTTTTAGTGCATCTGACGTTTTGCTCACTTTATTATTTCCTCCTTTACATTCAGTCTGGCTTCCTGCAGTAGCTGTTAAGCTCAAAGATGTGAAATCCTTATTCACTGCATGCCTTACTACATCCTGCACATTCCGGTGTCATCTTACGTTTCATTCAGCTTGAATTTCTCCTGTGCTCGCATCATTGTCTTTAAAGACCAGCTTCAGTCTCAAATGGCTGAGAAATACTTTTAAAGATGTTCAATATCCTTCGCCATCAGGGCAATGTAAACCAAAATGGCTCTGAGATTCCATCTTACATCTGTCAGGACGGCTAAGATCAAAAACACTAATGACAGCTTATGCTGGAGAGGATGTAGAGCAAGGGGAATACTCCTTTATTACTGATGGGAGGGCAAACGTGTGTAGCCACTTTGGAAGTCAATATGGCAGTGTCTCCAAAAATTGGGAATTTTTATACCTAAGACTCAACAGTACCACTCTTTGGCATATACCCAAAGTGTGCCCAATCATATCACAAGAACACTTGCTCAACTATGTTCATAGCAGCTTTATTCATAAAAGCTGGAACCTGAGCACAACCTAGATGTCCCTTAACTGAAGAATGAATAAGAAAGTGTACATTTACACAATGGAATATTACTCAGCTGTTTAAAAAAAATGACACCTAGCCGGGCAGTGGTGGTGTGTGCCTTTAATTCCAGCACTCAGGAAGCAGAGGCGGGCAAATCTCTGTGAGTTCAAGGTCATCCTGGTCTACAAGGGCTAGTTCAGGACAAGCTCCAAAGCTTCAGAGAAACCCTGTCTCAAAAAACCAAAAAAAAAAAAAAGAAAGGAAAGAAGGAAAGAAGGAAGGAAGGAAGGAAGGAAAGAATGGAACTAGAAAAGATCATCTGAGTGGGAGTAACCCAGACCCAGACAAGCATGCTGCGTACTCACTTAGCTGTAAAGGATAACCATGCTACAGTCCACAGATCCAGAGAAGTCAGGTAACAAGGAGGACTCAAGGAGGAATACTTGGATCTCCCTGGGAAGGGGAAGGTATTGGGAGCAGTCTGGGGGCGGCTTGAAGGTAGGCTCATTACTCCACAGAGCATTTCCTCTTATCAAGGAATTCACTTTACAGCCAAAGTCTGGCAGGAACCATGGAGGTGCTGCCTGTTGGCTGACAGGCATGCTCTCCATTAGGCAAACTTGAAAAACTAAAAAACTCGGCACTTTTAAAGGTGACCACACCGAAGACTAAGGAGCCAGGAGCCAGGAGCTCCATCTTTCTCAGTGGTGAATCTTCTCTGCTCTTTTACTTCTGCCAGGCCAGTTTGAGGCCAGAACAACGTGCCTTCTTTGTACCTTTGCACTATGTTTTATAATTTTAATTATGTACGGACACACAGAGGAGAAAGGGGGCGGATTTGAATTCAAGCAGCGCCACACTTTATGTCATCACTACAGGTGTTCAAGTGTGAAGAAAACCAACTTTGAAACGGTGAAATTTGTGACTCATCAAGTTATTTCTGCTTTAGTACATATGAGATAATATGCGCTGTTACTGATGCTTTTTAAAAGCAATTGTGTAAGTTCTAAAACTCATGATAAACTGTCTTCAGAGACCAGTTGCCTACCTCAGGGGCTATTTTTCTTTTGTTCTGTATAAGGTGGCTGACCTTCCCTGTTTCCACCAGCCAAATCCTCCTAGCTCAGGAGCTACGGCTAAGCAGTTATTTCTTCTGAGTGTTTTTTTTGTTTTGTTTTTGTTTTTCGAGACAGGGTTTTTCTATAGCTTTGAAGCCTGTCCTGGAACTAGCTCTTACAGACCAGGCTGGCTTCGAACTCACAGAGATCCACCTGCCTCTGCCTCCCGAGTGCTGGGATTAAAGGTGTGTGCCACCACCACCCAGCTCTTCTGAGTATTTTTTAGTTCTTAAATTCTATTGCTTGTATTTGATGAGGGATGGCAGTGACATTTCATAGTTTCAAATGTCCCTGCTGCTCTGAGAAGTGTAGATCCTAGTGAAAATTACATAGTCATAGGATGAATGAGGCTTTGTTCTTCCTTTTTTTTTTTTTTAAAAGAAGCCGCGGTATCACTGGGTCTGCATATCCTAAAGTATCCTGCTTTGTGGACGTCCAGACTGAATGCAGCAGCATCCATGTACCTAGCACATTTAACAGTCTGGCTCTCACTGCTTGCTGTATTTTGCATTAGTTAAGACAGGAAGTTGGTAGCTCAGTCAGAAGGGGAAGGGAGAATCTACTGTTAGGTACATCTGAACTGAGTGCCGTGTTCACCTGGGTCAGATTTGGGAAATACAGCCTCTGTACATAAAATTGAAAAATCAGTTAGCTATCACATAGTAGACAGTTGTTGAATTGCTAAAAAAAAATTATGAATACCTTTTTTTATAGATAAACAGAGACTTTCATAGCGACCACTGACCAAGAGCTAACGTTTTCACTCTACTGCGCTGCGGGACCGCCAGGCGGCTGCACTGTGTCAAGGCGACTGCGGTTTCCCACCCGGGACTCGTCAGACGCCAGAAGGCTGTTTGGGAGCTGTACACTTGATCAGGTTGTTAACTTTGTCTGATTTATTTCTTCTGAGAACCTTTAAATAAAAACATCTTAAACTTTAAAAAAAATAGTAGTTTATACTACAGGTACACAGAAATACTAACTGTATAAAACACAGAGATGAAATAAAATTGAGGTAATAATAAATCAAGTTGAAAGTTGGGTGTAGGGGCTGGAGAGATGGCTCAGGGGTTAAGAAAACTGACTGCTGTTCCAGAGGTCCTGAGTTCAATTCCCAGCAACCACATGGTGACTCACACCCATCTATAATGAGATCTGGTGCCCAGAATACTATAAACTATATATAAATAAATAAATTTAAAAAAAAAAAAAAGAAAGTTGGGTGTAGTGGCACAAGCTTTTAATGAATGCACTGGGTAGGCAGGGGTAGGTGGGTCTCTGTGAGTCTGAAGTTAGCCTAATCTACAGAGTGAGTTCCTGGACAACCAGAGCTACAGAGTGAAGGAAGCGAAGTCAAGAAGGGAGGGAAAAGATAATAAATCGACTATATATTACCATATAGTTGTACTTGCTAAAATAAATTAGAGAATAAAAAATCAGCATACAGCAAAAATTTATTTAAAACAGAAAAGAACAACGACTTTGTCAGAAGCAGCTCCCATCACGTCCTTCAGCAGGGCATGTAGCACATGCCTGTAATCCCAGCACTCAGGAGACAGAGGCAGGGCTGCGCCCTCAAGCTTGAGGTCACTCTGGACTACATGGCGAATATCATGTCACAGTAAGTACCACACAGGACTTTCATGAGGGAACAACAGTCAACATTTTCTCCTAAAGGACACACAGGAAAGAGTGTGGAGGTTCCCGCCACAGGAAACACGGAGACTCTACAACCATTCCACAGGGAAAGCTGAAGTTGTTCCTTGAAGCTAAAACTTCAAGAATCTTCAAGGACTTCTGGACTGTAATCTGGGGAGTGTCCCCCACCAACTCTCTAAACTGGGGCTGGTAATCCTGTGCACCCTACTGACAGCTCCACAGCAGGACTGGTCTGCAGGACAAAACAAGCATGACACGCTACGGTGTATGTTCATCAGCAGTCTGTTTATTAAGAGAATTGGTCCCGTAAGTGTCGGTGTATTTCGTACAGTGATCTGGTCATGACTAGGAATTCCGAGGGACAGTTGCTGCTGCTAGGGGCAGATCTAGTGATTCACCATCCATCTGCTCTGCTGCCGGGAGTCACAGCATAGCTGGCAGTGGTGGGAACTGGGCAGGAGGCAGGTGGCACAAAGCCTCGGGGAATCTGCACCATGGCAGAAGGTCAGCCTAAAAGATCCTGGGCAGGGAAACCAGATCTGACAGTTCTCTGCTTGTCTGCAAGAAGGCCATGGGCCAGGGAGAGGGTGGAGTCACCACCAGTCCACATGTAATAGAGGTAGAAAGCATTAGATTGAGAAGGCACCAGGCTGGACCCTGCTCACCATGACCAGGGAGAAAAGGAGTAACTTCAAGGAGAACTTATTACTTTATCAACCCCAAACTCTGCCTGCATGTTGGCCAGACACAGAGTCTGAAATCAGGAATTCAGAGCTCACCCCCAAGAAGCATCACCCCAGAAATCTGGCCCTCACTTGAACTCAGAGCAGTTGGCAAAAGGGTTTATAATGGCTTTTGGGTGTCACAGATGTTTTCCTGGGTCCCAGAGGGCCACAAATGCCTGGCTGACTCAGTGGGTCTACGTGGTGAGCCGGATGTCATCAGCTGTCCTTGTTACAGTGCTGTCCCAGTATGAACACCATAACCACTATCGACCCTACCCTTTTTACTCTGTGTGGTTTCCCCCGTGTGCCTCTAGCTCAACAAGATGACTGGAGAGCAGAACCTGTACCCCAGAAAGCATGCAATGTGTACATGCTTACAGTCTAGGGGCAGAATGGGATGTCACACCTGGCTCTATGCCACACAGCCTCAGGGCACTCCAGGATGAAATGCCTGGGGGTTTCGTTGTTGTTTTATTTTTAATATTTTATTATCAAGATTTATTTTTACTTTATGTGTATGGGTGTTAGGCCTGTGTGTATGTTTATGCACCATGTGTGCAGTGCCCACAGAGGCCAGAAGAAGGCACTGGATCCCCAGGGAACTGGAGTTATAGAAGGTTGTTAGTCACCAGTGGGTACTGGGAATCAAACCCAGGTCCTCTGAAAGAACAGTCAATGTTCTTTACTGCTAGGCCATCATTCCAGTCCCAAAATGTCTGTTTATTAAGGGAGTCGGTGGTCATTTAAATCACTTTTGGTGGCATTTTTAGTATAAAGCAAGTTCATATTTCCTTTCTGGAAAACTAGTATTTCAAGACCAACAGCCACTGCTCAGGACACAGTAAAGAAGGGCCCTGCCTCACTCCCCACTGAGCCTTTCTCTGAGTATACCAGCACCATTGGGTTGCCAGAACTCTGCCAGGCCAGCAAACAGGAGTCTGGTCAGAGGCCCATTGCACAGTAGACAAAGGGGGAGGTGAAGAAGCCAGCTGCTCCCCTCACAAGGAAGTCATTGGTCATAAAAACTCTAGTCTCACTCATTCAAGAAGGATGTACCCACGAGCTGTAGGGTGCAGTGTGCTTCCTTGGATTTCAAGGTTTATCTGGTTCCCTTTCTCGTGGGAGCTAGTCTCAGAACTAAACATACACTGACAAGTGCCTAGAGACACCAACCTGACCCTATCCCCAGCTTCATGTCTACAGAAAAGAGAGCAAGGCCTAAATCAGGGCTAAGGAGGCTCCTACCACCTAGCCAAGAAACCCCAGTCTCGCCTGGGCCTGCATGGTGATGATGCTGGGCAGCTGCAGCATAGGCAGACATGCATTCAAAGGTGGCCGGCAAGGGTATTATCAGGGTACAGGCTGGAGAAGCGGCCCAGGGTCCAGATGGGGAAGATGTTCCTGTAACTTGTGTAGCTGATGGCACAGGACTTGTTGAAGACCCCAGAGATGTTCTCCTGGAAGAACACAGAAAAATGAACAGTTAAGGAGCCTGTCCCTAGATGGCAGTCCTGACTACTGAATTTCCCAGCCCCAGAGCAAGTTGGGAGAGAGCTTGGGGAGAGCTGATGAACCAAAGACAGGCAATCATAGGCAAGGAAGCACAGGTCCCAGCTCAGAGACTAGAGCTTGAAGGAAACATTCTTCCTTGGAATAGTGGTCTCTGGTAACCACAGGGGCAGATGGAAACATCTGCACATCTTGTCAGTGAAGGTACGATGATAAAGCCAAGGTTCTGGAGGAAACATCAACTATCCAGTCCCTTCCCCAGCCAGCGCCCTTACAAATAGCAAAATGTGCTCAATATCTCAAGACCCAGCAACATATCTTAGATCTATGACCAGGACAAGCCTCCGGCTGACAGTGCACACATCCCAGATCTCCAAAGCACCCTAGGAGGAACGTGGGCACAGCAAAGTGAGCAAGCTGGAAAGTAACACTGGCACCACTGTCGCATGGTCCTCGCACACCTGAGGCCAGTCTCCATTGAGGAACTGCTTCTCCAGCAGACATCTGATTCCTCTCTCCTGAGCAGCGACATCGGGATGCCTGAGGGGCAAGAAGACAGGCTTGAATGAACCCAGCATGTGGCATCAACATACATCTTAGGAGGACATACATTCCCCAAATACTATGACGACGATAGAGACAACTTAACAACCAGAATACCTAAGACTGACTCCTACTGCAATCTTCCCAGGAGCCCTGAGAAGCAGGGCAGGTGCAAGCACGGGGATGGACAATGAGCAGAGTAGGCATGAGGCTTGTCTTCTTATCAGCACCGCGTGCCAGCCATGTCAGCATGTCAACCATGTCTTCTATGGATAAAATCAAGTATATCATCTGACATGGCTGGCACATGGTGCTGATAAGATGCCCAAGGAGAGGAAGACAAGCCTCATGCCTACTCTGCTCACTGGAAACCACAGAGGTTATGTGCACTTGCTGGCAAGAGTGAGATACCAGAAGGACTAAGGGTTTGACAGAAGCAAGGCCAGCAGTGGGGGACAGACTGGGAGCAGACTGATGACTATCCTGCTCATGGGGTCCCTGTCTGCACTGACTAAGGGAGGCAAGAAGACAGGCTTGAACAAATCTAGCATGTGGCATCAACATATATCTCAGTAGGACAAAAAATAGGAAGATCTCCAAATGGCTCTAAGTGTACTGTGGCGACATAGGTTAAGACAGCACATACAAATTTATTTGTGTGTACATGTATATGTGAGTGTGTGTGTGTGCATATATACCTATACCTGTGTAAACACATACGTGCGTATACCTAAACATGTATATGCACCCACAAGTGCATACACATACATGTGTGGACCTGTGTACATGAGTGCAATACAAGTGATTCAGTATGAGCTACGGACACAGGAGGACCAAAAGTAGCTCTTAACACTGAGGCAGTACTCTCTACACTGGAAAGCAATTTCCCCACCACAGCCTCCTCACTCATTTCCCTTGGGCCCCAGCTTCTCTCGCTCTGCCAACAGGCACTGACTATGAATAGATAAATAGACCATAGAGAGGCTAAGTCTCTCTAAAGGGACCCACTCAGCCAAACAGGCTGCCACTTAGCCTAGGAATAGGGTGTGTGGCTTCTGAAGCTGCCTCTATCCACAGTAATAGAGGGATAATGGCTCAGTCCTGTGGCTCCTTTCACCTCTTCCCACATCTATACACCCTAGGCCACCTCCTCCAAGTCGAGCACCCCTTGGATGCCCAATGATGGGTTTCACTGCCCTTACCGCACAGCCATCAGGCCCATCAGGGCCCAGCATGTACTGTGGACCTGGGACCTGGCACTCTGCACATAACGCCGTTGTTCACATGACTCAAAGTCCTCCCCCCAGCCTCCATCTGCCATCTGCTGGGACAGGAGGAAGTTGCAGGCCCGAGACACTTCTGTACACGCAGTCCTGCAGAGAGGAAGAGATCTGAGACACCGTATCTTGGGAGGATCTAAGCTGTCTATACCCTACTACTCTGACAGGCTGCCTTGGGTCATGGGAGGGGCCTGCAGAGGTGAGTGGCTATAGGTGTACATGTCTCACACGGATGCTGGGCACAGAGAAAACCACTCTGCAGCTACAGGCATATGCAAGCTGACTATGTGGGTACATGGATACAGACCCAGGGTCCTTGGGCCACATCTGGCTTAGTACAACTTCCCTACTCCCAAACCCACTATGTCTAGAAGCACCGGCTAGGCAGTCAGAGGCAGGGCCTGAACCAAGCCCTCTTCCTGAGTTCCTGAGTGAGACTCCAGTAATTCCTCACTCAGGATGAGAGACAAAGATTTGTAAGACTCATAAAGAAACTGCTTTGGACCTATAGCAAGGCAGAACTTAGGTAGGCAGGGAAAGCTAAGCTGAATGCTAAGAGGAGGAGGGCGGAGCAGAGACACACCATGGAGTTGCTGCCAGAGACATGCTGAAACTTTGCTGGTAGGCCACGATCTCGTGGTGATACACAGATTAATAGAAATGGGTTAAATTAATATGTAAGAGTTAGTCAGTAAGAAACTAGAGCTAATGGGCCAAGCAGTGATTTGGTTAAAAAAAAAAAAAAGATTTGTAAGACTCTGAGGTAACACCTAGCTAAGGCTTGAGCAAAGAAAGTAACTACTCAGAATTCCCTTCTTCTGAAACAGTGGTCTTCACTCATTGTTTTAAAATATTAAACAAATAAAATCAAATATCAAAGGAAAAAAACCACCATGTAGAACATTACTAGGATGGTTTTACTGTCAATTTAACATAGTCACCTGGGAAGAGAGGTCACCAACTAAAGAATGTGGGAAGGTCTAGCCCATAGTGAGAGAAAGCCAGCTGAATGGGGTTTTTCTCAGGGTTTCTGCTTCAGGCCCTACCTTTACATCCCTCAGTGATAGACTATGACCTAGAAGTATAAACCTAAAGTAAGCCCTTTCTTCCCCAAGGTGCTTCTAGCCAGTGTTTCATCACAGCAGCAAGACAGACCAGAACATGGCAATGCCCTCACCTGACGTCAGTCTGAGCTACACTTACCCATCTTGGTAGGTATGCCCCATGCAAGCGAAAGCTTCCAGGCCAAACCAGGTACCATAGGTGAAACAAACCCCCCAGGAGCTAGAGGGAGACAAAAGAGAAGGTCAGACTTGGGTCTTCATTCCAAGTGAGAGTACAGGTACTCTACCCAGGTATGGGACAACCTCAAGCAGAGGACAGAACTGGGATGGAGCATGGTGGTACAACCATACATTCCCAGCACTGGCTGAGACAGGGGATTGCTAATTTAAAGACAGCCTGAGATACACAGCAAGATCCTGTCTCACAAAACCGAAGAGTAAGAGACATACTCAGAAGAGGGCGGAGGGTTGGAAAGGGAAAGCAAAGGGGGGGAAAGGCCTTGGGCAGTTGCTTAGAGCAGCGTTCACACACATTCCACACAGTGCAAGTGTGGACGCTGTTTCAAGAGGCGCCGCTCAACCACTGCTCCTCCACTCAAGACATAAAAGAACTGCTGATGCACACGAGGAGGAGGGCAGTCGTGTTTAGGCCACAGGGCCCTTCCAGTATGCAGCCCAGCTGCGCCCTCAACACAAGCTCTCAGCTAAGGGAAGGCCGAGCACCAGTCAGGGAATATGACCAACCAGGAAGTCCCTCTCCTGAGCCCCCCAGGACAAAAGCAGCAAGGGCAGACCCCCCAACCCCATGCACATGTCACCACCTCCCACCAACCCCTCTACAGGTGAGCCCAGGTGCCTACTCACCCCTCCCAGGAACCATCAGCTCTCTGTATCTTTCGGCAGAACTCCAGGCCTTGCTTGAGGGTCTCCCTGTAACACAGGCAGTTAGCCCAATGAACACTGCAGGCGGGATCAATGTCTTCCCCAACCGCACCTACACAATGGTCTCAGAAAGGCAAGAATGGCCTCTCCCCTTCAAACACATCAAAACAAATGTTCAAAAATGAAAAAAAAAAAAGGTCAGGTGGTGGTGGAGCATGCCTTTAATCCCAGTACTAGGGAAGCAGAGACAGGTGGATCTCTGTGAGTTTGAGGCCAGCCTGGTCTACAAGAGCTAGTTCCAGGACAAGCTCCAAAGCTACAGAGAAACCCTGTCTCGAAAAACCAAAAACAAACAAACAAAAAGATTAAAAAAAAATGTAGCTATAGGACACAGAAGGGGTAAAGAGACTGTCAAAGTTCAGAGAAGACACAAAGGAAAATGGACTTTGGAGACAAGGACCACATGAGAGGTAGCACTGAAAATTACCAAAGCCACTGACAATGACACTAGTGTCAGGAGCCAAACAAATCTATAAAATGAGCTAGATAAAAACCAACAACAACAACAAAGTGTTTTTTGGGCTGCTCACTTGAGATGGAGCCTGGTCCCCCTGCATCATTTACAGCAGCTTTCATTTGTCAGAAAATTCTTTAGGCTGTCTATTTTCACAATCTGGTAGGGTCTTGCCCTGAGGGTGCTTCTCCATTTATTCCATTTCAGGCCAGGCCTATCCTTAATTTCCTTATCTCCTCCTGCACAGGCCTTGGCTACCGCATTGCATTTCCTAGCATTTTTTTCCCCTTCAAACTGTCCATTTGTATTTCTGCCCCCATTTACTCCTGTCCCCTGTGACCTGCATATGAGCTATACTATCACACAGTTAGCCTCGGGCAAGTTCTTAGGAGAGGGCAGAAATTAGCTACTATTTGCCAAAATATCACAAGAATGGAACCTCCTGAGCTGGGCCTCTGTGGTCTGCACAGTTCTCAGCACTGTCTTCCATGCTCCTACTAGGACGGTCCATGGAGCTCTGCTTACAGCATTCAACCACTTTTGTAGACCAAAGCTAAAAATCCTCCCACGTTCCTCCCCAAAGCCGTGTGGTTAGGTCTGTCACAGCAATCTACCCTGCTGCCAGCTTCTATACTATAGTTACTTTCTATTGCTGTGATGAGACACCATGACAAAGGCAACTCGTAAAAGAAAGAGTTCAGCAAGGCTCACAGTCTCGGGCAGTGAGATAAAGGCATTGGACTGATGTTCCGTGGGGACAAATGCGATCAGTCTGAATGTTACTAACTGAGCCAGCTCTCCCAGCTTAATCTTTTTTATGTGTATTGTTCTATCATATATGTTTTTTGTGAACTGTCTCAATGTTAGAAGTGGGCTTCTAGGGCGACCTCCCTAGAAGCTGTTAGTCAAGCCCCTCATATCATAAGGCTATTGCCACTGTCCTTGGCTACAAAACCAAACCAGATAGTCCTTAGTGTTAAAGACACCATAAGCTTTGGCAAAATTAGGCTAAGACAAAAGTAGAAAATCCTTCTCTGCTAGCTGGCTTTCATAATACTGGAAGATAGCATGCAGGCTGCTGGGGCATAACCAAGGGTCCAGCTCAGCTATGAGCCCTGCTTGCTACAGTGCAAATATCAGATAAGACACACCCACTAATACAATAGTAACACAACACTAACACAATAGTAACACTGCAACATCGTTGCCTTCTGCTGTGATGTAACTCACATGTGATATTGTAAGCCAAGGCAAAGCTCCTGGTTAGAAAAAAATCATGAACCCCAATAAGGAGTCCATTGCTATTGTTTTATTAAATGGATATGATATGCCTATCAAATTTCCTTCTAAATTTGTGTTTACACCCTTACATTACTGCTGCCTTCAGTCTTCATCAGCAATGAAAGGAGACAGTAATAATGAGAGGTCTACCACAAAGAGTCATAACTAGTAACGGCTCTGAGACCAACGAACTGTTGCTATGTCACTGTGGCCCAGTAGTCAACCACAGACGGAGAGAAATGAACAGCTGTACCAACCCCTCCAAGATGCCAGAAACATCACAAACAAGGTGGACCAAAAGAATGCAAGAACCAGAGGAAGGGAGGAGCTATAGTGTGGTTACTTCCGCAGAAGTCAAACATTCTCTGCACGTCTGCGTAACAGTGAAAGAACCAACGTATGTCCACAGTGAGGGACTCCATGAAGGCGGGCTCAAAGTGAGCAACAAGAATCTGTGACTGAGAAGACAGGAGGGCAGTCCCTTCATGGAGCAACAGGAGGTGTAAATCAGGTGATGGCAGGGTCTCCACATGACAATCTCAAGAGCATCTGACCATTCCCTGGCTCTCAGTACGAAAGAACACTTAGCAATTATTTACTTGGACACTGTGGCAAAGTTAGGTATGTATGCTCATTTTAAAACATGTTCAAGATGGGAAAAATAACCCATTCTTGTGTTACAGTTGTATTGTCTTCCCCAGACCAACACACACACACATGTACACTCACAGACTTACACAGACTCACATACTCTTGATGGATCTGTAGGTACCTGAAACTGTCCCTCTATTTACTCCAGCCACTGCCCTGTGAGAAGTCACGGCCTGCTGTCTGAGAACGCTGCCCTCGCCTTCCTTACCTGATCTCTACTGCCCTGTGGTCTGGACAGTGCTCATGGAAATGCTTCAGAGACTGCATCACTGCTGAGGTACACTCCACATATGTGTAGTCAATCATGATGTCTCCTAGAAAGGGAAAGAAGGAGGCACCTGAGCTCCACTATGGCCCAGGGCCATAGTTCAGGCCAAGAATATGGTGAGCGCACGTTGAAGCATGCAGGACTTACACCTAGATGTCACCCCAAGGTCAACCTGGGCATTGTGGCAACAGTGAGTACAATGGGCAGAGACCTGCACACCTGTGCTGCAAGGCACATGGCTGTCGATAAGCAGGCGAATGGAAACCTAGCATAAGGTCTCCATGGCCCAAGATAGAACCTCAGCCACTCATCAAGAATACAGATACTCCATACTCTGAGGCCCAGAGAGGGCTCTGCATAGACCTTCCAGCATGCTGGGCCTTGCCTATGCACCAAACTGCTAGTCAACGCACTCACCAAAGACCTCTGAGGGGTTCAGCAACTCCAGCAAATGTCCCCCACGCTTGGTCTCGTAGGTAGCAAATCCTCCATCAGAATTCCTCATGCCCAACAACTGTAACATGAAGGGGACAGACTGAGAGCTGAGTACACAACTTACAGTACGACTTTCCCAAAGCACCACGGGACAGACAACATATAGGACAGGAACGAGGGATAAGAAGCCAGTTTTCATGCCGAGCCCTTAGGTGTTCAATGCAGCTGCCCACAATATCTGGAGACATATTCCAATGTCAGGCCAATGCAGATATCCATAGTAAGATACACACAGGAAACAGGTGTGCTAAAATTCACACAGAAATGAACAGACACTTCTAATTTCCCTTTGGATACCACCAGTCCTTCCAAATGAGACCTGCAGAAATCTCAGCACAGATATGAGAAGTTCCTGAGCTCTAGAGCCAAGAAGACAAGCCCCAGGGACCATACAGCCTCCTTGTAACTTCTGGGACTGTCTGGGCACCATCTCTTAAAGCACAGAGCCCTATGCACACACCCAGCCAAAGTTTCTAACCCTGGGTCTTATCCAGGACTCATAGTCTCAGATTCTGATGCTCCTACACCCTCACCTTGGTCTTCTAAGACAGAACCATAGAAGAGGGCATAAACATGAGGTAGACACTCACCACAGCCACAGCGTCATAGAGCCGCTCTCGGGGGATGTGCTCGGTGATGAAGGGACACTCCTTCTGCAGGAGCAGCACAGCCTTCAAAGCCTCGGCTGTGCAGTCGGCAACGATCCAGCCACAGTCCAGTGTGCTGAAGCAGAAACCGCCCTACAGAGACAGAGTGTAAGGGTGCTCCTCCCCTGCAGAGCTGTAACAGGCAGGGCAGAGGCCTCTCCACCACACAGTGGTACCTAAACTGGGCATAGCTGAATAGACTTGAGCTTCAGCACAGGGACTATCTAGGACTTTATGCCCATTCTGATGGCCCTTGGAGCTTAGCAATAAAGTGGTCAGGGACCTAAACAGCAACACAGGTGCCCTATGGACCCCACTATGGGAGGCAGCAGCTACGTCAATGTCTCATTCCACAACCTGCAGCCAAAAGTAGGCCCTTATAGTAGAGGAGGTTAATGCTGGCTCTGAGTCCTTTATGCCCTCTGCCTTGATTTCAATACTCCAGCTCAGCATCTGTGTGTGCTAGACATCTGAACTACCTGGAGCCTGGAGCCTGGCCACAGAGGTGTGGGCTATCTCAGGGGATGATGAATTCCTGACGTGAGGCATCTACAGAGCAAAAAGCCAGAAAGCCCTCCTCAAAGGGAAGACAAGTGGGCTTTGGCTTGGGTGGGTTGCCCACACATACCTTGCACATCTGGCGGTAATACTTCTGATAGTCAGGAAGGTTGTCTGGGACCTGGAGAGCAGCAAGGAACATTATGTGGAAAACAGAAATAAGGTCAGTGCAGCATGGCACCCATAAGACCCGTCACTGTATCACTACTAAGAAGTAAGATCATTCAGAGAGGGCTAAACAATCCACTCTCCTGCCCAGTTTCGTGGGCTCACTACTGAGCTGCATGACTCAGGTCAACAAGAAAGCAAACAGGTCTGCAAGTGCAGCAGGGTCCACTGAGAAGGGCAAAAGGCCCATTGCTCAGTGTAGGGCTCGGATCAGGTCCTGTTGTGGGAGACAGTGCTGACTCACTCCCAACAGCCCTAGACACACATGGATAACAGCTACATGGAGGCTCCTGAGGAGGCTATATCCTGGTGGGATCAGAGGACAGAGGGTTAGGGGCACAAGGACTCTAGGGCAGGAGGATGCCAGTGGGATCAAGGCTGGAGGCATCCACTATGTCTGAAGCAGGATATGCAAGGCCAGCCTAAGAAAGCAGTACATGATGGGGGCTATAGGTGGCTATGAAAGGCAGGGGTGAGAGATACTGATATGGCTGTACTTGGTCTCAGGGAAGGCAGGCACTGGCAACTCAAAGATGGTTATGATGTCCACAGGCTGTTGATCAAGGATACAACTCCTGACTGTACCACAGGCTGGCTTTGGCCCTCTGCACACAGGTGTTTCAGTTGGATAACAGAAAGCACTGGCTGGTGATGGGCTACCACGGGATACAGCCAGAGCTACATAGGATTATCAGTTGTACCAACACGGCAAGGGCAGGGCAGAACAGGGCAGAACCAACTCAAGAAAGCCAGCTTGGGGCAGCAGGACAGATAAGGAAGGACACGGGCCTCACCTGTGAAAGCCGCAGGAATTCGTGAGCCTTCTGCAGGCAGGGCAAAAACTCAGGTCTGTGGTGTGCACCTGCCTAGAAGACAGAATAGCACGGTTAAGCCAGTCCTCCAGTACCCTGGTAACATCCTGCCACCTCACTCCCAGAAAATGCCGCATCTTAGAGTTTCCTGAGGCTCTCAGCTTTAAAGACAGCGAGACACAATTAAAGACAGTAATGGACAGAAGAGACCACCCTGGACAGTCACCAAGTCCCACCTGTTCTGCCAGGCTTTACTTTGGGCAGCCCAATTGGGCCTAGGCCCTGGTTGTCCAAAGACACCCTCAGGATTTCACTGCTCTCATTCCCACAGGCAGAAAAACTTTTTCTCTAACTCACATAGCAGCTAATGTTCTAAGAGCCTCAAGCCCACGCGGCCCAGGTACCACCCTGCTCTCCACTTCCTATGCTTATTTCCCAGTTTAGTGTCCAGTTCCAGAGGATCATCAACAGGGGATTGGGAGCATCCAGGCAAATGGGAAGCTCAAGGGGCAGAGGCATGGAAGCAGCATCATTTTCCTCAGGGCGAATGTGTGGCTCACACACACAGGAAGTTCACATGGGCTGCACAGAGAAACAGAGCCGCATACCTCCAACAGTGCTTGGATAGCAAATGACGTGTCCCAGATCTGTGATCCATTGGTGCCCTGTTCACAAAGAATGAGCTGTTATAGCATCCCCATCCACTGACTCCTAGAATCCGAGGGTGTCGGAGACATACCCAGCTAATACCTTATCCCAGAGTCTGAATCCTGTGCACCAAAGCAGCTGACAAAGGTCAGAAAGAACCCTAAACCTTGCAGGCACCCATGGGTAACAGAGCCCTACCTGCCTCTAAAGTTCCAGCAGAACAGCACTTTCTCAGGACATACCCAGGACCACATGATCCCGTGAAGGCTCCTAAACACCCCATGACAGCAGGGTACCCCAGGCATGGGACAAGCAGAAATAAAGCTCCTCCATTTCCAAATATGCCTGAGGGGTTAGGGACCCAGCTGACACATTACTGTGGCCCTGACAGGATGAGAAAGGTCCACTTCAAATCCCACCCTGGAACCTTGGATTTCTGGACAACACTCTTGGGTCTCAGTGCAGGAAATGGATGATCGAATTGACAATGGGTTTTGTTCAGGAATCTCTAAATATTTGGCAGAAACCCCCGCTCCCAACACTACAGGGTAATCATAGACTAAGTTTCTCACAGCTCCTTGGGGGCCAAAGATCGCAGGCAAACACTTGACCAGAAAGAAGCATTTCCACTGCCACCCTTTGGCCAGAGCCCTAGGAGGAGCTAGGGGAAAGCTGACCATACACCAAGTGCTATCCCCATTTACCACTGGGTATCAAGAAAGGAACAATTTTCAGGGCCTGCCCCTCTGCCCCAGAGGCTTCTCCTGTACTGGTGGCTACAGAGGGAAATCTCTAGGGTTATCCTATTAGGTGAGCACACACAGCTCCTAGTAACCCGCCAGAGGAGTTCCAGATGGCCTCACAGAGAGGCCCATTCCCAATCAGAGCCACTTTCCCTCACAACAGCAGGAGGATGGTTCCTGAGGGTCTGAGCCGAGTCTGGATCTGCCATGGTTTAGTCTACCCTGATGAAGGACTACAGATGGACCCGTGAGAACAAACAGCAACCACAGAGACCAGGAGGTACTCAAAGCCCCACAGACACGAGGAATAAAGGGTAATTCTGTCTCTCCTCTTTTACTACAAACTGTATTGAGGATGGTTTTTCAACCCTGTCCCATTTTTTTTTTAAATTCAGAAATAGGGTCTTGCTGTATAGCACTGTCTGATCCCACACTCAATCATTCTGCTTTAACCAACTGAGTGATGGCACTACAAGCAAGCGCCACCATGCCTGACTGTCACTTTTGAATCATAATAAATAAGCAGAGATGGTTACAAAGAGAGAGGCGGCCTCAGTTCTACAGTCCTTACCTGCATTTTCATGCCATCAAGGCCCAGCCTACAGGGATAAGAAAAGATTACGTCAGGGACAATGTGAAAGCTGGGACTCCAGCTGTCCATCAGGAGCCACACATACACAAAAGAGCACACAGATCTCCCACCTCCCGCATGCTGACTTCGGGGCTGCCCAGTGGGCTCACAAGCACAAGGCCTACACCCAGCAGGAACAAGACAGTGGCTTACCCAGGGAGCTCTAGTCCATGCCAGGGTACATAGAAGCTTCTACAGCCAGGTCTACCTTGCTATCCTCAGCTCACACCACACCGCCAGAGCCTCCCCGCTATGGTCACTGTGACAGTCCCCACCTTGGACACAGTACAGAGCTGACAAGCCTCTTGTCCACTGGCCTTTTTTACAACAATCTAAGACTGCCTGCCTCCAGGATTCCTGGCTCTGACTCTAGTAGAGTCTAGTAGTAGTCTAGTAGTAGTTACTGCTAGATTAAAAAAAAAAATCTTCCCAAAGACAATCTAACTGGCAGTGTCCCTGATTCCATAAAATATTCTCAGAAGTGTGACACCCTGGCACCGCTACCTAGATGAGGCACAGGGCCAGCATTAAGCTGCATGTCCATGGTCAGCACTTGTCACCACACCCCAGCCACCACTCAGTCACACTCACCAAAGGTAATCTGGGATCCTAGAGACGTGCTCCTGGAAGGCAGGGGAGGAGGGCCCATCCACTGCCCAACGAACAAGCATGTTGATGGTTTTTGAGATCTGCAGAATATGTGGGCTTCAGGACCCATGCAACTTTACCCTGGGACAGGGCCCGATCTGTTCTAATACAAGCTTCCTAAGTGTTCTCTATACATTCATGCCCCAAGACTCAAACTGAAGGCAATGTCACTCACGATTCCGAGTCAGCTTAGGGTGTGACAAACAAGGACCAAGAGTCCACAGAGAGGGAGGAGGAAGCTCAATTTATCCAGAGAACCTATGGGCAGCCGACCATAGTGTAGTCCCCAATATTACAACCCACATCCTGATCGTCTCCCATCTATGAGGACAGCTTCCTTGCTGGGTCTCCAGTAGCTCTGGTCACTATGTGCTGACTACTCAGCCGCAGGCATGTGCTCTGTAAGGTCCCAAAGCCTGTGCACAGTTGGCCAGACTAGAGGCCTGGCATTCTCAGCCAGATGGGAGAGACCAGAAGTGAACATGAGGATCCTGCTGCTTGCATTACACCCCTAGACACCTATAACTCTTATATAAAGGGTAGAAGATGGATTATCTAGGGTGCAATCTATGAGGGAGTAAGTGGAAAAAGGCACCCCACTCAGTTGACCAGAAAGCTCAGAAAGTGGTCTTCCAGGAGGTTCTCAGACTCTTAGACAAGAGCCAGGTAGGAGAACGGGAGCCCAGGAAGCAAGTATTAAGTGGTGCTTCAAATACACCAACCCAAACTGAGATGCGCCAGAATCTAGGAAATAAGCCTACCTCATTCCTAACTCCACAGAGCCTATCCTAGGGCATCTGACAGGACCTCACTGTCACCAAAGGTGCTACAGGCACCCAGGACAGGGACACTGACCGGGCCAATGCTGATGCATTTAGTGAAGCGGTCATCGGCAACAATATGATCATACAGCATTCGGATGGCCCGCTGCCGCAGGCTGGTACTATGGAAACGTTCATACAGGTTGAGGATTCCTGAAGGGGAGAAGGCATTGGGGACACTCAGCAACAGGAGAGGACAACTGGCATCCCTGGACAGGCTATGCCCTAGTCCTACGGACGGGAATGGGTCCTACACAGTCCAGCATCTTGCCTCTCATTTCCCCCGGGAATCCTCCTCCCACTCACTCTGTTTCATCTCTACTTCCTCCTTCCCATCCTGCTTCCTACCTCCCACCGTGACCCTGCCCTGCCCTACCTAGGTGGCCTGACAGCAGCTGGTCTTTGCTGGGGACCAGAGCAACGTATATCTTCTGAGTTTCCACTCCAGGGCCATTTATTTATTGCATTGACAGAGTGAGTCAGAGTGAATGAATTATGTGGAGGACTGACCATCATCTAACTATTAACTCCGACTCTCCCAACCCTCAGGAAGCACCTACCATAAACCACATGCAGCAGCCAGCTATGTGGCGTGTATAGCTCATCTGGGGACACGTTGTTCTTCTGTGCTGGCCAATCAATGCTGTCATAATCCTCCACGTAGAGCTCCTAAAGACCAGGGGACACCTGAGAGCCTAGCAGAAGCAGCAGGCAAGCCTCCCAAACACAGAAGATGGACTAGCTCTAACCAGGAGTGATCTCCGGCTGTACATTCTCAGGGTTCTGGGTCACATCCTTTCTCAGGGGTGGAGACACCCAGCAAACTATCACTACAGGGTGTAAGGCTCAGCTAGTTCAGTGACACCAGGGCTAATCTGAGGAGCTGCCTCAGTCCAAGAGCCTAAGTCCCACTCTAGTGCAAGTCCTGTTCCAAAGCCCATCTCAGGGCTCTTTCCCAGGAACAATGACTACAAGCCCGGGTTAGGACTGCAGCTTGTGAACTCTCCAAGCCCCAGTGGGACACTGTACAAGGCAGATGCTTTTCGGGCCTCTATGAGCAGTTTATCATTTGTTTACAGATCCTCTGGACCCCGGAGTACCAAGATGCATTTAAGCTCTAGGGACTGTGTGTCATAACCTTACAAGGTCCCTAGAGACCATAAGGCTTACCTGGCGGAGGCTCTGAACCAGTGGGTCCTCTGAGGCACTTAGCCGAGTGGCATAGCAGTAGCTCATGGGTAGATAGACCTGCCGGCAGTGACACCAGAGAGTGGAGGGGTGTGCAGGTACCCATTCAGGAAACAACCTGAAGAGAGCATGTGTCAGTGGGACAGGACATAAGCTCCACTATTAACAGCCCTGAGGCCTTGTACTCTTCCAAGCATGGACACTTATGCTGCTGTGAGTATATCCATCCATGTGTGTGCATGCTTGCGTTCTGCATTCTAATGCCAAATGACTGTGGAGCTTGTGCTCCACACATGTGGAGTCATATGTGGAGCCCTACAGTGTAGGGACACAGACCAGAAGCCTCTCCAGTCCCAAACTTCAGCACTCTACTCTAGCCTGGCAAAGCCTTCTTCTGCCTGCACCTCCTGAGGCAAGCCTAGCATCTGGATGTTAGCTCAATTGTAGTATATCTCCGTACTTCAAGAAACAGTACAACCACCCTGTCCCATACATGGAGAGCTCTCTCCATGCCCTTCACTGGTTCAGGCATTTGCCACATCTTCCACTTATTCAACCAGGCTGTAGAGTCAAGCCTTTTAATCCTTGTTTCAGGACCCTGTTGTCTTCCAAGGGGTCACTCACATCCTATCTTTCTGCGTATGAAAGCTATTTACTACAGGAACCCTCAACTCTGTCTTCAATAGGACAGTAGGCTCTACCTGAACTCTGTATAGTTCTGGAGAGCTTACCTAACTTAGGGGTAAATTTATATACACATTATATAGAGAGCCAATGTTCTTACAAGATATTCACAAAAAAGATAAAAACAGTGACAATAGGTTTCAGTTAGTAAGGACTAGAAATTGCTTGTGTTGGGTAATTATTAAAAAATAAAAAAAAAATTTAAAGATGCACGTGGAAGCGTTCATTGGTGAAATGGTATCTAGGACTTTCAAATCAGCTAAGAAAACAAGATACAGAGATGGGGGAGGCTCTTCCTTTACTCCTAAAGATGCCCCAAGTCTTTGTAATTACCAGGTATGATCTGCTGTCTATCACCACAAAGACCAAACCACACAATGGGTATGGAAATACCCTACAGGTCCCACAGCCTGCTCCACTGCTGTGTAGTTTGATAGCTTGCGCTTGCCGAAAAGAGAACCCCCTTCTACCTATGTGTAGAACACATGAAGGGCCTCTAGTGAGAGGCTAGTCCACCCCGTTAGGTCCCATCAGTCTACTAGAAGGCAGTGCAAAGAGGGCAGGCATACCACATCTCAGGGAATAGGGTATTGAGTCCTTCCCAGCTATAAACATTCAGGATGGCCAGCCAGAACTTCCCCCAGGAGGGGATGGCCACTGCACCGCCTGGAAAGAGAACAGGACAAAGTAGCTACTGTTACGTGTGAATACTGGCTTGAAGCTATCTCTTGTACCTCCTCTTGCATGAACTGAGAGTCAACCTGCCATGGGTCCGGTAACTCCCAGTCAGGAACAAGCATGACCAATCTTAGGAGAGCTGTTTACAGCCCTTATCCCTAAAAAGGAACCCATGAAGGCAGCCACCTGTGAAGGCAGCTCAGGGAGGGAAGGAAGAGACCAGTGCTGTGCACTGTGCATTGTACTGCACAGCCAAGACCAAGCTGCACATCTGTGTGTTTCCACTCAGCAGACAGCCTGGCACGAGTGACTGCAGACAGTCTAGCATGCAGCCCACATTCAGAGCCACTCCTGCCCCTACCAAGCAATGGTCAGCCTTTTATGCATCACATGGCAATACTGATTTATACACATTTTACAAGTTCTGTCCTAAATTCAAATATGTCGAAGTTAGAAAGACTGAGAAAGGTGCTAGCTGAAGTATGGTTCAAGCACATTCCTCCTCCTGGCAGCCTCAGAACAAGACAGCAACAGGGAAACAGAGAAAACTTTGAGAGCACACGATCAATACCATCAGAGGTTATGATGACTTACTTAATCACAACAGGGGCAAACACTTGACAGGAGACTGCAGAATTTCATAAGGCATACAGAACACTTCCTCTAGCCTGGGAAGTCAGAAAGAGAGCCCGAAGGAGTGAAGTTTAAGACATACTCTAAGTGTGACGAGGAGTTTCTAAGACAACACGGCAAAGGTGGAAAGTGGGGTGAGAGGACAGAGCACATGGGAACCTCGAGGTAGGAAACCACTTTGACCAAGTGAAAGGAGACCCTTGATCATGGAGCAAAGAGCAAGACAGGAGTGCAGGTCCTGGAGAGGCAAGGCACAGGACCTCATGCCAAGCTGCAGATTGGTAATGCAAGATAAGCTCTGGACTAAGAGCAAGGGGAGCCACAGAGCCTGCGAAGGTTGAAATGGTCTCCAAAGCCCACAGGTGAGTTGAGAAGTAACCGTGCCCAGGCCCAGAGATGGTAAGGAGGGATGTGCAGAGCCCTCACTGGGGATGTGCACCTGTAGCTCAGCTGCCTTCAGAAGGCAGACTCCATGAACTGTACCCCAAGTACTGTGTTAGCATGGCGCCTTTAAATCTTTACCAATTCATGAAGGAAGCAGAATACAAAATATCAAATTGTTTTGAGCTAAGGATAAAACTTAATTGGTAGAATGCTTCTCTAGCAGGCACAGAGCCCTGTGTTCAAACCCCAGCACTACATACCTAAGGCATGGGAGTGCATGTCTGTAATCCCAGCACTACATACCTAAGGCATGGTAGTGCATGTCTGTAACCCCAGCACTCAGGAGGAAAAAGCAGTTAGATCAGGAGTTCAAGGCCAACCTTGGTTACGGGGTAAGTTCAAGGATTGCCTGCCTACATGAGACCCTGCCCCCCACCAAAAAAAAAACAACAACAAAACCATGACAGCACTCGAGTTGTAGTTGTGCTAAGTGGGCAAAGAACTGGCCACACAAGCCTGGTATCCTGAGTCTGATCCATGGAATTCAGGTAAAGATGAAGGGAGAGAACTCCACAAAGTTGTCCTCTGACCTCTCCATGTGCACTGTGATACAAACACACACTCCACATACACACCTCACAAAACAAACACACAGAGAAAATAATGACATAAACACACACACCTCATAAAACAAACACACACAGAAAATAATTAGTTAAAAACAATAAAATTAGGGCTCGGAGGTTAAAAGCACAAACTGCAGAGGACCTGACTTCAGTTACCAGAACTCACATGGCGGCTAGCAGGTCTGTATCTCTAACTACAACTCCAGAGGCTCCGACACACTCTTCTAGCCTTCACGAGCACTGCATACACGTGGTACACAGACATACGTGCAGGCAAAACACCCATACACATAAAAGTAAATAAGTCTCCAGTTGGGCAGTGGTGGCACACACCTTTAATCCCAGCATTCGCAAAGCAGAAGCAGATGAATCTCTGAGTTTGAGACCAGCCTGGTCTATAGAGTTAAGAGTTCCAGGAGAGCCAGAGCTACACAGAGAAACCCTGACTCAAAAAACAAACAAATAAACAAACAAAAAACCCAAAAGTCTTTTAAAATAATTAAAAGGAATAATTATTATTAATGTTACTAATCATTACACAGCTCAACAGTTTCCACTTACTCATGTTTTTCCCAGTGTTTCAACTAGAGGTGCATCTTACTAATTCCCATTTACAAGAGCTCACTGTGTCAGTATGACACAAACCCCACATGCCATACAGGACATACCTTTTTTGTAAAGAATGTTCCGAGCACGTACAAGGTCAGGATCATCAGGCCCAACACCCAGGATTCTGAGAGCCACATAGTTCAGGGCAGTCCCAAACACTGTGGATTTGTCCTCAACATGCCTAATGGAAACACGAGACTGGTGGGGAAAGGGCTTCTGTCATCTGTCACTATTTCTAAGAAATAAAGTCATACTGGCGATGAAGATCGCCTAGAAAAGACTACTAAAATATCTCCTACAGCATGACAATGCAGGAAGCACACTGTGGGGAAGTTTAGTCCACCCAGCAGGAGATAGCCAATTGCTCCAAAACTAGTTCGGCAGGGCCTGCCTACCCCTCTGCTCCCAGAATGTCTATATCAGAGAAGCAGATGGAGAGGGGTCTGTGGGGCCCCTACATTTGCCATCTCTGCTGCCTCCACAATTTTAAAATACCATTGCTTTAACTTGGCATGTGAGTCTCATGCCAAGTAAAACCCTGGTCAGGCTTCGCATAGGTACCAGCCTGCTCTCCTCCCGCCAGGCTTTCTCCGACCCCACCTTAGGTTCATGGTTACAGTTATCCCACTTCTCAACGGCTGCCTGGAAACCCAAGCAAGAGTTACATAAAGACACATGCAAGCACACACAGGTACATATGTGCAATTGGACACTCACAGGCCCCAGCCGCCATCGGGGAGCTGCACTGATCGCAGGTACCGTATTATCTCCTCTCTGTATCCAGCTGGCAGAGGGATGTGTGACACATGGCACGTAATCAGGAGACCTGTGTGGTGAGAAGGATGTCCCCACATTAGAACGATGCTCAGCACTACTAAACTTAAGCTCTTCCTCTTAAGAACCTATCCTGACACATAGCTGCCCTGTGGCTTTCATTCCCGTGCAATCTCCCAGAAAGGCCATTCTTCCTAGGCCGAATGACTTTGGAAACACTATCAGGCCAGGGCCTGCAGAGCCCAAGTGGTGATGCCTGGCAGCCATACCACAATCTGGGTCAGAGAAACATGGCAGAGCCTTGAAGAGGCCTCCCACAAGTGCTCTGAAGGCCTATTAAGAGCCAATTCAAGATCAGTGGGACCACAGGGGGTGACCAGGTCTTGCTTTAACATCTGCTTGGGATTGAAATACTAAAATGGCAACCCTGGACAGGATAATAGTTATTGCTTAGATTTAAGTGTTCTGTTTTATAAACTTTTTACATGTATGTGCCACTTTGCACATATGGAGATAGACGACACTATACAGGAAACCTGCGTTCCATGGCTGGTCACTGAGTGTACACTCCTATCTTCATCATCCACAGGGCAGCTCCATATCATATGTCCATGGCATGGCGTGGGAAGGGCATCATATGGCAGCTACTTTAGAAACAAACCCACATTCTCCTAAGAATTCAGGCTACTGAAATAAAGTTAAAACTCAATGAGGAAAAGGGTCTGGATGCATGAAAATGGGTTTCTTTAAAGAAACACTGCCAGGATGCAAAAAGTCTTACCTAAACTAGATCAGAGACCCACGTGTTCAAACACAATCCTGTTACCACTCACCAACCTGGACTTGTGGTTTTCCTGCCAGAACTCCCTCAGCCACCATTTGACAGCAAGTTCACAAGGGATATTTTAGTGCTCAAACGGTACACACATGGATACCAGCTCTTCACCAATACCCTTGCCTATCTACAGCGCCTTGCCCTGGCACTGTCTGGGCCTTCTACCTGGAGTACCATTTTGCACTGGGATTCAAGAGCACCCGTCCCCCTCTCCAAAAGACCCCTTTGCTTCCATTATTAGAGCATTTGCCAGTCTACCCTGGGCTAATCATGCTTTACCATCATTCCCCATCCCGGCAGTAAGATGAATGGGATACAAGGCCACCCTCCCCCAGAGCTTTTCCAACGCACTGCCGGGTTTCAGCCTGCTTTACCAGTGTAGGTCAAGGCCCTACCCACCGACAGTCCGGAACAGCCTTCCCCTTGAGTTAGGATAGCGTGCACCTACCTGGCAAGAGGAAGAGGGGTCCACCATAATCACCCGCCCAGTGTCCATCCTCAGCCTGCAGCTTGGCATAAAATGTTACTCCGTTCAGGGCCCCCTCACGGGCTGTTTGAGCTTTAGGGAAGTCTTTGAAATAACTCTTCTGTGAAGGGAAAGAAAAAATGAGAGTTGAGGTTGCGTGGTGCCCTGAGGAACCCTCCTCATTCACAATTCATGTCAAAATAGTGAATCTAATTTACTTTAAAACTTTGGTTTCAATCTGAGACAAGTCTTTGGTGACAAGATCACACCAGCAAAGTAAAAATGCAATTCTATGTGGTCATGATTTACTTTCCAGATACCGATCTGCAAATTTCTTCAAAACTTCAAAACATCTTAACTAAACACAGCACAGAGCATAGGGTGGGGCACAGACGCCCAACTGATACTGAGCGGACCTTCTCAGACAGGGCCTACATAACAGCATAGCGGATCACCAGAGCAGGACTGATACTGAGCGGACCTTCTCAGACAGGGCCTACATAATAGCATAGCGGATCACCAGAGCAGGTTTTCACAGCTGATGGCCAGGACTCACAGGAAGCCTGTTAATGGCCGGGCAGTGATGGTGCACACCTTTAATCCCAGCACTCGGGAGGCAAAGGCAGGCGGATCTCTGTGAATTCGAGGTCAGCCTGGTCTACAAGAGCTAGTTCCAGGACAGCTAGGATTGTTACACA